TAGCTCTATAAATATCTCATTTATTTTATCTCTAAATTTCACGGAATAGACATGTCGTGATTGGGTAAATGTGTGTGTGTGTGTGTGTGTGTGTGTGTGTGTGTGTGTGTGTGTGTGTGTGTGTGCGTTTGGTTGCTCATGTGTCTTAAGAGAGTATGTGAGTAATTTGTGAATATGAGCTTGTAAAGGAAACGTGTTTTTGTGTGTGTACTTTTGAGTCTGTAAATGTTACCTGTGAGGGACGGTGATATTCATACATAAAGAGAAATAGATAGATAAACAGATGGATGGACAGGTAGACAGACAGACAAACAGACAGACAGAGAGACAGACAGACACATACATTATATTATATAGATAGATAGCTAGATAGCTAGATAGATAGATAGATAGATAGATAGATAGATAGATAGACAGAGAGAGAGAGAGAGAGAGAGAGAGAGAGAGAGAGAGAGAGAGAGAGAGAGAGAGAGATAGTGTATGCCAGCAGACCCCCGAAGCTGTGTCCAGTAAAAACGCTCAATCGGGATGATCATTTCCTGTTCAACCCACCCACTGAGGACGCACTGCATGATAATAATAATGATATGATGACCTCAACGCCCCCCCCTCTCCCCCTCCACCTCCTCCACCCCCTTTCAGTACATCCGCTTGCCTCCCACAAGGCGGCACGATCAAAGGTGTGGTCAAGACCTAGCCACTCAACCCGAGACGTAAGGTCCACCCACTCGAGACCTCTGAATGTTTAGCAAACATGACGTCACTGATCCCGGACCATTGTCACTGCTTTTGAGGGGAGCTCTTTTTCATTGACCCGCTTATTATCAAAGGGTGTATTAACAGGGATGCTGTTTGACAAATAGCACTTATAATCAAAGTGGGCATCCATGATATACTTTGATGAATCTTTCCTCTTAGTTGTTGTTGACTTCATAACGTTCTCTTACATTGACGACCCCCCCCCCCCTAAAAACAAGAACAAGAACAGCAACAAGAACAACAACAAAAACAAAAACAACAACAACAACAACAACAACAACAACAACAACAACAAAAGCACCCCCCCAAACAAAACAAAACAAAACAAAAAATAGCAACAAAAAGATAAAAAAGGACAAAAATTGACCGTTAGCTATGTGTAATTTTTAATAGAAAAAATTAGTTGTTTGAACCTGCCAGTGGTCGCTCTACATTTTATTGTTATCCCCCCCCCTCTTCCCTTTTCCGCTTTTTTTTTCCAATCACCAAAATGGTACAGAATCTCAAATCGTCATAAAGGATAGGTATTAAAATATTGCCTGTCAGTAACAAGTTTAAATTATGTTTTTGGTTAGGCGACCAGACTCGTAATCGGAAGGTTGTGTATCCATCCACCCGTCCATCCATCCATCCATCCGTCCATCCATTCATCCATCCATATAACATGGTTGTGAGTGTGTTTTTCTGGGTGCATGTGTGTATGCGCTGTTGTATTATTCTTTCTATCTATCTATCTATCTATCTATCTATCTATCTATCTATCTATCTATCTATCTATTTCTTTCTTTCGTTATAATTTCTTGCGACCTGTGTAATCCTTGTTTCCCTGCTGTTTTCCATCCTCCTGTCTCACTGTCTGCCACAAGTACCTTGTGATTCCTTCCTTGTATTCTTCTTTATCTGTCCCTTTGTTCCTGTTGTTGCTTAATATTTCCGAAGTCTATACAATCAATACATCGACTACAGTACTTGTCTTTTCTTGAGCAAACATCATAAACAAAATATCTGCCAGTCGACGTACTCGACAGCTCTTTAAACAGCTTGACACTAAGTGGACTAAATATGCCGTGCGCTGCGACTTTTCCTTTAAAAGAAAGATTAGTCCCGGATTATCAGACACACGTCAAATCTAAATGATAACATTCATAAGCAGAATTTGTTCACGTAATATTCCTGTCTGTGAGGAAAACAAAACGGTGGTGTATTGTGCGATCAACGCATGTGTATTGTGTGAATAAATCGTGCGCTGTATGGATAACTCAGAAAGTTTGGAATAAATTGCTGAACCATAACAGTGATTTGGGTTTGTGGTAAAGAGAGTGAAGAGTAAACAGTCTGTAGAGATACTAGTCCTGCCGGGAAAACGTAGCCGTAGTTTAATGCATTTACCTCTATTTGAAAAAAAAAAAAGTTTAACTCGTTCCAGAGAAAAAGGAACATTATTTTTATTTAAGAAAAGAAAAAATCAACAACAGTGACAGTGAAGAACGTTGAAAGAAGTCAGCGGCAATAGTTAACACTTATGAGTAATTATTGGTTGGTTTTCAGTTTTGAAGTCACGATAAACAATTTTCCTGTTTGAAAACCGCAATTCTCAGAATTGTCGCCTTCTTTAGTGAGTCTGCTTTTTGTCAGACTGCATTATAAGTAGGGTTGACTTTTCAAGGTTTTTATTTTTCAGGTTTATTTTTCTATTTCATTGTTCTTCTCATCTCAAAGCACGCTGCTCCTCGCCATCTCTTTCTCCCTCGCTACATTCCCCGCTCTTTAATTCTGGCTGTATTCTCTGCCTCCTCTTACATTAATTCACCTGTCAAACTGCTTGATCATGCATCAAAAATTTGTAATTGTAGAAAAGGCGTTTTATGACGTGAAGCCAGTTTATTCGAAAAGAGAAAAAGCAAGACAAACATATAAAAAGAACAAACATAATGATAGTAAAGATCGGAAGTAAGACGTAACAGTGTGCGTCTCTATCACCTCCAGTAGCCAGCTGGATTGCTGTAGTTATTTTGTGTGGATGGCTCTGGTTCGAAAACCCGATATATGAAGTACTCTTGAACTTTGTTTGCGTCGAGGATCTTTTGGCGTTCCACCTACTTGGTTCGGAAATGGCTATTGAATTCGGAGGTTCTGCCTCTAGAATATATGGCCCTATAATAATATATTGTTGACAATGCAAATTTTGAGAATAAAATACATGGTTCTATCTGAATTTTAGGTACTTTTTGAGGCACCGGACGTCAGTGTTTGTGAATTCTAAACTCAAAGCGAGACTGAACCTTTCTCATGTGTGTCTTCTAAGTAATTTCAGACAGAAAAATGGATCACCTTGCATAAAGAGCCCTCAACAAACCGTACCTTGAAACATCCACACAACGCAGATAGAACCCTTTTAAGCTCATATGACAAAGAGCGTCCCACCCATACCACACCAATTAGTTTACCCCTTAAAGGTAAATAGATGCACACGATGCTAAAAATAGGCCAAGTATGACATGCTTGCATATTAGCATGGTTGCTATCTCAAGACATTCTTCTCTCTGATGGGTTTTACTCCTAGAAGCTTAGAATCCATCCCCACCTTTGTTTACACCCATTGTCCAAAACACATAAAAAATTTCAGGATGTAAAGAGAATAAGCGGAAATTTGAAAAACGGGTTGAAAATTTACCCATCCACCCTGGCAAACAAACAATCACACCCTTGGCGTGCCACATTTCTGACTGATAAGAAAGAAGAACGTGTACACTTTGAGCAAATGACATGCCTTATCGTTTAGACTGTTGGCCTTAAGATCTGTGGTGTAAGATCATTTACTCGCACCGCTTTTAAGAAGCCCCCACCCTTTTATTAGGGAAGTTTGTGAAGCGTGTTTTCCCTTCTACCTATTGAAAAATCGTCATTCGTCAAACATTAAATCTTGGGTCAGTTAGTACATGAAAGAAACGCACCCATCGTATTTTTTCTTATCTGTTTGATTTTTATATTTCTGGCAACTCATAGAAACGATTTGTAACCTGATGCAATAGATTCTGCTGGCTAAAAGAAATAAAGCATGTCATCGAGGTGAAAGTATTCTTCTGCGTTTCCTACCTCAATAAGAGAAACATATTTCTTCGACTTTGTGCCCGAGAATGTTCTAAAAATAAAAGGTGACATATGCAGTAAATAATCGGGTATTTAAAGACACGCACTACTTTTGTTCTCTCTCGTAATTTTGATTTGTTGGTCATGATCGACAACTGTGTGTTCTATCTTCTACAATTGTCTCATAAGATGGCTATTTCATGGTTGTCCTTTTGGTCCTCTTCCAGAAGGACTAATATATTTATCATCATCATCATCATCATCATCATCATCATCATCATCATCATCATCATCATTTCTTTTCTCACTCTGGACCAAGGTATAGGCCACAAACAAACTCTTTTCATTTTTCCCTATCTTGGGATGGCTGCTTGACATTGCTCCGAGTTTCTCCACTTTTCTGTTCATCATTCTCTGTGACTATTAACTGAGTTCTACCTGGCTTTCTCTTTGATATCTACACTAGCGTTTATCTACGTGCTGAAAATCCTTTTTACTTGAAACTTTTAGTTTGAGTGATTGACGAAGTGAAACAACTATACCCGCAGTAAATAATACTATACTAAAAATAGGGACCTGTAAACGTGACCTATTCAGTGTTTGAGAGAAATGAACCTTTAGTTTTTCGTATATCATACCATGACATTCCGTTGAAAAAAATCTTAATAAAGTCTTTGAAGCACTGCGAATCCAGAAAGTAGAGTTGAAATTGTTTAAGAAGACAATCCGTTATAGAGGAGAAAAGTGGTTATCTTAGACAAGTGGCCGGATTACACAGTGTTGTTATCATGTCAAAGGAGGAAAATGGGAAGTGGTCGTTTATACAGGTGATTGTCTATACAGGTGGTCGTTTGAGAAGGTTCTTCTGCACTCTTAATACACAAACATAAAACTGTGATGGTGATGAATTCAGAGAATATTGGGAACATTTTGTAAAAAGTATTCTTGTGTGTGTGTGAACGTTTGGATTTCTTAGACATCATGTACAGATCAAAATGGCATCAGCGGATGGGAAATATCTACCAAGGAGGGGTAAGTAAAAATGAACAGAAAAGCCAAGTCAAGAAACGGGCTTTTTAAAAAAAACCCTTGGGAAAAGGATGTGTTGCTAGTCAGAAATAGATACAAGAAACAGACGCATGACTTATAGTTGTTATTCACGTACAGAGGCTGCGATGGCATAGCGGTTAGTGCGCTAGTCTCCGAAGCGGAAAGTCTGGGTCCAAGACATGGATTTTTTCGCCTCCTCCTGCCGAACCAGCTATAATAGGTACCTGACTTCGAGTTGGGCAAGTAAAGGTTGCGTGGAAAGGAACTGGCCACCCTACAATAATATGCCGAAAGCCCAGGAAGTTGTCTCACTAACAATAATGTAATCCCTAATGTCCGGATCGGATGTGGGAACAACTTTTACTTTTTTATACCCGTACAAGTAAAGTTATTCCCCCCCCCCTTTGTTCCCCCCTTTCTTCTCCCCCCTCTTTCCAATTGCATCTATCTCCTTTTCTCGTGCTCTTCCCCTTCTTCCCCCTCTCTCTTCCATTGCACCCCCCATCTCTTTCTCTCTCTCTCTCTCTCATTCATTTTTGACTGTCTGGCTTCCATCTTTGCCAATTAATCCCCCCCCCTCTCTCTCCCTCCCTCTCTCTTTATCTGCTTGTCTATATGTCTGTTTATATTTCTGCGACTCCCTTTCCCAATTATATCTCTGTCTGTCATTCTGTCTGTCTGTCTGTCTGTCTGTCTGTCTGTCTGTCTGTCTGTCTGTCTGTCTTCTCTCTCACACACAGATACACATCAATGTCATCACAATGTTTCTCAAATGTTGTCACCAACGACCGTTTAAGGGCTGCAGCCTCATCTTCCACCCGCTTCAATCTAAGATACAATGCCCAGCAAGGTAAAATGGATGCCTTTAAAATAAGAAGAGACAATGGATATCCATCCTGAATCCTCCCTGAGGAAAAGATGTTGAAAGATTCCTCCTACCCCCTTCCGAAAATAAAACATCCAATGAACCTCCCCCCTCCACACACACACACCTAGATTCAGATCCCGGACTCCCGAACGATGAAGAACTTAGTAACTAACTGGACCAAGATTTCATTAACCTCTTATCTTACATACAATGTACCCCCCCCCCCCCTCCGAAAAAAAATCACTTCCTCGTCACCTCTCTTTCTCTCTTAGAAAAATGTTCTTTTTACCTTACTATAACACCTCACTCCGTCATACACATAATGATACAAGTTTCCGAAAGAGTTGCCTGGTTTCATTGGTAACTTATGAGGATACGAGAAAGAAAATAGTACTGTTGCAGAGCGTACTCTATAATCGTTACCTTGATTTCGAGGCCTAGCATAATAATCTGACCGCTTCCCCTTCTCTCTCTCCTTGCCCCCCCCCATCTCTCTCTCTCTCTCTCTCTCTCTCTCTCTCTCTCTCTCTCTCTCTCTCTCTCTCTCTCTCCTTTCTTAACTTTATGTTCTGACCTTGTTATTCCATTTTACGTTCAGTTTAACACACACAAGCTTGTTCCATTAGAGCTTGAAGAGAAAAATCTACACAAAGGGGATTTGCATGATCGGACCTGGAGCATTTCTCTGTAGATATCGAAGATATCCCCCCCACCACTTTCACCTTGATTATGCTAATTACCTTAAGCACTTCGGCAGTTCAAGTGTACTGTCTATTGATTTTCTACGCGAGCGGTACACATCTTGTGGCCAATGTGGACTTGACCAGGGTCGACCGTGAAGGGTTAGTGGGGCAAATATTTTCCTGTTGCACCAACATTTTTTAGAGACTTTAATGTTGCTCGTAAGAAAACAATACCATTACCACATGTGTGACATTTTTGTTATCTTTGTATTCGGGGTTTTAAAGAAATGTTGTTGTTGTAATATTTAAGTTGTTACTATCACTATTTATTAACATACTGATTGTGTATTTTAAAAGGACTATTTTCAAGAAATACCCTTTCACTTTCCACGAATTACTTTTCCGACACTCTCTGAGGCTGTCTAAGGTGTTTTGTATGTAGGGAACGAGTTTTTAAATAAAAGTAAGCAAGTCTCAGCCACACTACTTTGAAATAATATTTGAGAACAGCCCTTTTTAGCAAAGTGGTGGGAAATAATAACAATATCTTACGAAACCGGGTTACTTATATTCATATTCTAGATGTTTTGGAGAGGGCGTGTGACTGAGCATACATAATTTTATCTCGTAAAATGTTATTTTAGCTGGGTACGTTTCAGTTTATTGGGGGAAAATTGACATACAGATGTTTGCTTAGCAACGATTCCTTGCTCTTTCGAGGCAGTCAAAGCCATAGGTTTTTTTATTTCCTCTTTTGCTGAAACACAGAACAAGCCTTCTCTAGATAGAAATTACGGCCTGTGTTACGTTGCAATGTGTTCAATAGAAAAATAATATACAACGAGAATATACTTAGTGATGTATGAATCCCACATGCTAAACAAATATAATGCCAAATCCAATTAAGGGAAAAGACCACCCATGCACAACTTTCAAAAGATTTAGAGCTTAAGGACCCTTTGAACTACCATATATGTTTCCAATTTTTCATCTACAAATTTGATATTTCAAAGAATAATAATATGACGATTGTTTCGGAATTTTAAAACAAATTAATGATATATATTTACCTCCAGTATACAGCGTTTAGCCTAATTTAAAGATAACTTAAACGTACGCCTTTTAATTTTTTTGGAGGCAGAATAATATAATTGTAACGTTTTGTTTGCCAACTGTGACGAACTTGATATTTCAATCATTGTGGACGCGCTGTTCTGGGCCACTATTCTTTATTTAAAAAGCATAACTGCGTTCTAAATTCTGTTGTCTTTTTAACAGAAACTTAAAAAGGCAGGCAGCGAAATGCATACAGTATGCAAAGTCGGGTTTCTGATTTATATAAAATAATATGATCGTTTGAAATGTGCAACGTAACAACTTTGTTTTTGATCTGCTGGTAGGTCATAAATATGTATCCTCTAGATCCTTAAAAGACAATTTTTTGTTGAAACTGCAGACATTGCGATAGCAGTTAGCTCTGTCCTTTTTAATTTGCTACTTTAAAAAAAGCTCCGACTGAGTAAAAGAATAAAACAGGCATGGGATTTATGAGATGCAAAAACAGATAGACAGACTGATAGATAGATAGATAGATAGATAGATAGATAGATAGATAGATAGATAGATAGATACATAGATAGATTGATAGATAGATACTCATGTGATTAAAACTAGAGAAACAGAAAGGCTAGTACTATCTCACGCCCCAACCCCCCTTAAACGCATGCTGGTTTATCAATACAACCAAACGCTGTCATTCTATCAGTAGAACCAAACTCTATCATCCCTCAGATCTCCGGCAAGCTCAACGGACCTATGAGTTTCCCCAACGAGGGACCTCGCTATCTCTCCACCCGCATGAACGGCCGCGGGTACTGGAACAGTGGCGAAGACAGAATCGTCAGAGACTTTGAGCGAAATTACACGGATGAACAAGCACCCTCGTCTTTTGGAAGAAGGCTCAGAGGAGGAGGAGGAGGAGGAGTAGGAGGAGGAGGAGGAGGAGGAGGAGGCAGGGGAGGGGGAGGTGGAGGGACAGAATGGGATGGCAGAGACAGAGGAGAAAACAACTGGGGGTCTTGGAGAAGTGGTTTGTTCGGTCAGCAAGCCGTGCAGGATGGTTATGTAAACTCGGCCTTCCAGCCACACCCAGAGACTTTGGACGAACTTCCAGAGGCAGATTACGGCTCTGACAGTGACTTCTCAGAAGGCAAGTTCCATGATTATACTGTTCTAGCTGGGCCCCCTTTCGTTGAAAGGAATGATCGGTGCATTAACATTAACTGAAAGTCATTGGCCTACTATAATGATTTACACTCTACTGGAATGAAGCAATAAATCGTGAGAGATGTAAAAAAAAAAATTAGAAGGTTTAGATATAGTGATGTACAGATTGATTCTTTATTCCGTTTTCGAGGTTGTACATTCCAGAATTTCGAAGGAGTGGAAACAGTGCCCACGGTTATTGAACGGAAACCTCACTTGTTTGCAATGGCGTCTTAGAAGACGGACTTTCCCAAGATTAGATCTAAACGAAATTAATAAAAAAACTGAAATTAAACTACAGTGACTTGAGGCTCCTCAGTAGAACTGTGCACTCTTTAAATGATTCTGAACCACCATTAATTTTGTTGAATTCGAAAGTTAAGTGGTTCCGACGTTTTAGGCAGCCAAAGTGACAGACTTTCACAAAAATAATCAGTATAGATACTGGTTTTTTTTTTCACACACCACTTGAATTTGTGACTTTCGCAATTTTTACGATTTTAAAAATAAAAATCTGTAAATCAATTTGTTCACGAAATGTTAAAAAGCGCGTAGCAGCATGACACTCGAAGAATCAAAAAAATGAATTTACAACATTCTCTGAAAACAAAACGGGCAAAATGTGAAAAAAAGGAGTGAGCACTTCTGAATGTGTTCAGAATCTTTTCGGTTTGTAGGCACAGGCTATTGTCATGTTGACAACGTGATTACTATTTATTGCTATACGGCGACACTTTTGCTGCTACTGCTTTAAGAGTAGTAGTAGTAGTAGTAGTAGTAGTAGTAGTAGTAGTAGTAGTAGTAGTAGTAGTAGTAGTAGTAGTAACTACGTTTTGAAACTAGGATTAAAGTTGTCTGATCTTAAGGATCAAGTGAAGGAAGAGACAGGATGAGGAAGGAGAGGGGGAAATCACAATAGTGACGACAAGTAGAGGCAGGAGGAGGAGGAGGAAGAGGAGAAAGAGGACGAGGAAGAGGAGACGGTAGAGGAGAGGGGAGAGGAGGGGGAGAAGAAGAATTTAGGGGATGGAAGAGGTAGATGATGATGATGATGATGATGATGATGGTGATGATGATGACGATGATGATGATGATGATGATGATGATGATGATGATGATGATGATGATGATGAGGAGGAGGAGGAGGAGGAGGAGGAACGGGAGGAGAATTCGGAGGAGGAAGAGATGGTTTTGGGATTTTGATAGACATATGAAATTAACCGTAGTGGTTTCCATACAGTAATGCACACACTCTCATAATATCCTCTCGTAGAAATGACCCCCTCCCTCTGATTACTCGTCCACAGATTACCCAGTGTCCAGCAGTCATCCTACACCAGAGGCCACCCTACATCCAACCAACAAGAGCAAAAAACCCGAATCTCAATCAAAGACAGCAAAAGAAAGAACAGAAATACCCGGATCTTCAGATCAACAATCAAATCCCAAGTATGATATGATGATACATGCTGTTATTAGAAACTTGAACTGTCAGTCAAACAGAAATTTGAGTTAGTGAAAACAACAGAATGTGTGTTCGCATCGATAAGTATAAATTCACGAATTTTCAAGCAGTACAACGACTTTGATACCCCCTCCCCCCTTCATTTTGTAACAACACTCTCAAATTCACGCACGTAGACAGATTCACACCACACACACACACACACACACACACACACACACACACACACACACACACACATGCACGCACTAACAAACTTAAACAAACACAAACAAACACAAACAAACAAACACACACATCTTCACTCTATTCTGTCTCTCTTTCTCTTTCTGAAAACAAAATTACACGCCTATACACACAGACCCTCATCGACACACACACACAAAGACACACACACAAATACACACAAACACACACATACACACAAATACACACACACACATGCACAATCACACACAAACATAATTTTAAAAAATAATATATGCACACAAATCATATTGCCGCCCTTTTTTTAAATAGCAAAACCCAAAAGAAATTCTGAGAAGATTAAAAAAACCCATCTCTCAATGTTATGCAAAGTTTTTGCTTCTGGAAGGAAAAAATATAGGGGTTGGAGAGGGGTGGGGGTGGGAGGTTGAGGAGTGGGTGTTTAATCAGTTGATGCACTGCCATATAGGACTAAGGGCAATACTGATTTTTGTACTAGTAAATTGTAAATGTCATTTATATAATCATTTGCCCCAAATCAACACAATCTAGACCATCTAGGAGCCGAAAATGAGCTCAGTGGGATATAACCCAGCAGATAGTCAAAGATACGGCACTCGATAAATAACTCCATTCGAAATCGAACTCACATCTTCTACTGGTGGCGCCGACGAACCTACCTGCTACCCCACACTTGCTGGAAGGAACTTGGATTGTGAATGGACATTTACTTTCTGAGATGGACGTTATAACGGAGCCTCCATACTCATGAATAACTTGACAAAAGGGCATTGAATGCCCACCACGTCGTATTTTAAGTGGTGTGTTCATCATCATCCGGTGCCTTTCCGACTGGCGTGGGCGATCATGGACCTCCACTTCACTGTCTTGTGTTGCAGCAAATGCGTGTGTTGTATGTCACACTTATTGTATTGTATGTGAGGCTTCACAAATTAGAAATTCTGAATCCAATAGAAAAACTCTCAAGCTGCACACACCAACCAGAGGAAATGAAGCTTTTAATTGCTCAAAATGTGGCACATTCTTCTCTGACAGAATAATGGTCTCAATGGCCAAAGCAGAAACCACAATTCATCCTAACATTTTTTCTTTCTTGCTTCGCTCTAAGATATTATATTCTCCTCTGCAGATGCTCTAGACGGGCGTCTGTGGTGTAGCTGTTAGGTGCTTCTCTGTCGCACGCTGGAGTTTCGAGTTCGATTCCTGAGTGGGGACAATTTTTTTTATTGAACAACTTGGTCATTTTGCTGTGAAGTTGTATCTTCCTCAGCCCGGGTTTGCTCAGACAGGCAGGGTCGAAGGCCTGCCTCCTAAATGATATGCATTGTTTCGATGAGGGCGTAAAGTTAACTACATACATTCAATTTTTAAATGTATTGATCATCGTCATATATTGACGGACGAACAATTCATCTTCGTCTTATCATTATTATTATTATTATTATTATTATTATTATTATTATTATTATTATTATTATTATTATTATTATTATTATTATTATTATTATTATTATTATTATTATTATTATCATTGTATAGTCTATTCCATTTCAAGATGATATCTTTAATAGTTTAAAGTTGGTGATTGCAAGGGTTCTGATGTGGTCTGCTCCTCCTTCCTATCAAACATTTATCGTCTTCATCTTGTCCTCCGTCATGTGTGTTTTTTTTTGGGGGGGGGGGGAGGGACGGGTGTTTATTACCCTCTTGAAACACCTTTAATATTCGGTACTAGTTTGACTGTAAGGGCAGTACAACGCTTTGTAAAAACTTACTTTACTTTATTTTACTTTATTCGTCCTCTTGTACCTCTAAGGCGTCTTGTAGGGAAAGAGCGTCCTGTCTCTAGCAAGTTTGATGGCCTGGCTCGGTGGGATAATGAATGTTCTCTCTCGGGGTATCCTTCACACCCTGGGTCCAGGGTTTTCTTGGTCTTCCTCTTGCCTTGTACTCTGAACTTTCCAGTAGTAGCGTTTACTGGCAAGCTGGTTAGGTGCCATATGTGTGAAATGTCAAAACTACTTAATTGTTTCCCTCGAATGTAGTGGATGACAGATGTTGTTGTTCCCACCATTTCTCTGATCTTGTTGTTTCTGACCATATCCAGTCTGGTTTTGTTGACGGCTCTCCTTAGATATCTCATCTCGCAGGTGGTTATCTTACGTTCCAGACTTTTGGTCAGGGTCCATGTCTGGCAGTGGTAGGTCAAGATGGGGATGAAGATAAAGTTAATGAGCTTAACTAAAGACATGAGTTTAAAATCGCCCCCCCCCCCAGCATAACCATTTAAGAACACGTTTGTCGAGCGAACTCGACATCCTCGCCAACCACATCAGGGGCTGATGAGTCTCAGTTCTTGGAGTACTTAGCTCGGTCCCTACGAACCTGTTTATATGACGGTGTAGATTAGTTTTAGTTTTGAAGAACGCGAGGCGAAGTATCGACTCAATAACGGCCATTTAGTGTAGTGGAAAAGCATAGAAACAATTTATCGACGTTTTGCAAAAGTGACAATAAAAGGAACCGACTGACCACAACAAAAGGAGGCACAAAGCTAAAACACAATGTTTAATTACAAAATGTAAAGAGCTTTGGTCTAACACGTTGAAACTCAAATGATCCTTTGGTTGTTCAAAACAGGAAGCAGACAACAAAAGTCTGGGATGTTTTCGTGACGAAAGCAGGAGGCCTCTTCCAGTCGCACTCCGATGGACATTCTGCTGAGTCTGCCGCCGTCTTTCTAAAAATATTAATCTCTATCTTCTTCTTCGTGTTCGTGCTGTGCTCAGCCGTGGCCTCAAAGACAAGTCTGCTGCTCACAACATACTATCTCAGACCTAGAGTCAACGGCTGGCAGAATCATGCATACAGAGCAGACCTGTTTTACACCAGGCAGCCTGGACTCAGGCTCATCAAAGCCACGCCTGACATCGATGTGAAATGGATTTGGGCCGCCATCTTGATTGTTGTGGCTCCGTATTTGTTCACGTTCTGCTCTTCTTTGTGGAAGGTTATCTTCAAGACTACAGGGAAACTCTCGTGTGGAGCGCTGTTTGTGGTGAGTGTTTAACTATTCTTAATCTAACCTTTTATCTACCGTCGAAGATATTTAATAATGGCAAATCTTTCTAGATGAATATTTTCTACCCTATTCTTGAATACGATTTGTCATTTCTATGCTTTCGAATCTTTTCTTCTAAATTCTGTTCATCCCACTTTCAATGAGCTTCGTGAAATTATATTCAACGAGTAACTTCGATTATTATTTTTTCTTTCTTTACTCCTCGTTTATACGTCCTCCTCTTTTGCTATTTCGTCCATCCACCCCCTCCCGTAAAAAACCCCAACAACATAGTTTATTTATTTTTGTACTTGGTGGTTAAAAAACAAAATTAAAGCGACCTAACAGCGCGGCCATACTTTTTCATTTGTCTTTTTGTGGGTCAGCTGAACAGAGACGTTTACTGCTGGACTTAATGTCTACCACAAGTTCTACATTTGAAAAGCCCATTTTGTTTTTCAGTTCTTTTTTGTATTAATAATTCATTGCTTTAGAAAAGCACGTTCTCAACACTTTTACTATTTACCCTATCGCTTCTGTCCCCAGTCATTCCTCCAGCACTCCGCTCACTCGTTCAGCCTGTGCTCCATCGTTTTCTACATCCTGCCTCGTCACGACCCGATACTCAGCAGCGTTTTGATGACGTCAGTCGTCTCTATTCCGTCCCTGCTCAGGATCTTTGCGCCCAGAAATCTAGGCAATGATGAGATAATCGACGACAACTCAACCAACAAAGGGCAATGGAAGTAGGTTTTCTTAAAGAAGCTTTTTTTATAAATTGAAATGAAATTGAACGTTAAATCCCAAAATGTAAATTTATGTCCTCCCATCTTCAAGAAAAAAAAATGATATATGAACTATTCGATTCTTCCACTGAAAGATCCGAATGTATAGCGTAGGCTGTGAGCAAGATGTGGCTTTAATATACACCACTGAAATTGCAAAAGTGGTAAAAACTTTATGGTGGAATAATTTGATATTTAGAGACACAATGGAATATCCTTTGAATGTCTGTATTTTACTATTATTGGCTTTCAGCCAATGAATGTGTAGTTAAAACATTTTTTACGGAAAACTTTTCTGTGATACTAAGTAAATGCATGATATGAGATGTTAATTATTTTATTTTTTTTGTCTTCAGAGTGATAGCAAAAAGAATCTTTGATGTTCTTGCCTCACTGGTTCAGCTGGCAGTAGTCGCACTCTGGGCGTACAAGGAGTACTCTTTAACACACGATGTTACCATGGTTACACTGGTAGTGGTCTCCTTGTTGATAGTTTCCATTGACAACTGGGAGAATTACGTCACGTCCACTCGGAATCTGAATCCGCAAACACAGAAAACATTTCTGTCTCGGCTCCGCAAAAAACTTCGGAAGCGTCGCACACGGGTGACTCTACTCATGAGTTTGTGGAAGATCATCTTTACTGTCGGTGAGTAGCCCAGACAGAGCCGTCCGTCTCTCCATCTACTCCTAATTTTTAGCCTACTTATGGGTTGTCCGTTTGTCTGTCTGTCTGTCCGTTTGTCTGTCTGTCTGTCCGTTTGTCTGTCTGTCTGTCTGTCTGTCTGTCTGTCTGTCTGTCTGTCTGTCTGTCTGTCTGTCTGTCTGTCTATTTGTCTGTCTGTCTGTTCCCTCCCTCCCTACTCTCTCTCCCTCTCAATTCTCTCTCCCCCCTCTCTCTCTCCCTCTCTCTCTAGAATGTAATCACCTCTGTATCATCATTTTGTGAAGACAAATTTGGCGGACAAAACTGAAGAATACTTAGGGAGCCATTGAGAAACAATTACATGTAGTTATAGAGCTTACTCATACATTTTTTTCTGGTGAAAAGTAGGAAATTTAGGAAAAGGGTGGACTATTGTTAAAGGTGATATAAAACGCACAACTGAAACGGACATTGTAGGAACACTAGCCGGCCTTAAGTCCATCCTTGTCGGACGAAAAGAAAATACATGAACGTTGAAATCGTCAGTCAGTTCTTCTGTCCACCCCACAAAACAAACATCAGACAAAAATCAGGAAAACACTGATAATAATTCATGTACTTTTGCGTTCGGATTTGTCTGACGCTCGCCCGAGATAACATGGCTTTTTACAAATTATCGAAAATTAAACCTTATCAAGCGAAATAATACCTAAGTCGGAATCAGCGCGTTCCGTAACTGATTTTATTGACTCCCAAATTATTCTATTCAATTTTAAAGATTAAAACATGTAGTTTGTTTTCGATTGCTTTATCATACAATTGTTTAGTTCATGTCGCGGGTTCAGTTAAAAAAACAACCCATGTATGCCACATTTGTCTAAAATCAACTTTTTTTTTTGCTATTCAGTGGCCGCAGATCTTTCTCTGTCACACATCTTTTCGATGTGAGGATCGGACAGTGAATAAGTTATTTACAGTTGGGTCAACATATTGAAAGATATGTGACGGAAAATGATCTGCGATGACAAAAACAAAACTAAACTAAACAAAACAGAACAACCCCCCCCCCCAACAA